ATTCGTCTGTGTTTGTACGTGTGTGTGTGTGTGTATTTGCTTATGAAACAATATATTTCATTCAATTTTTCTGAAAATCAAAACTTATCCAACATGTTCTTGAAACCTTGTATGTTATGCACTTGTATATTATCAAACTCGCGCTTGTTTTACTGAACATCAACACATGTAAAAGCATATACATACTTGTGGCCATATTAGAATACTATATATTCGTGCATAGTTACATACATCGTCTATTGATTGGTGCGGAAACACAAGCATGTACAAGTACACATGAACCATTGCGCAAGTAAATATAAGTTCACATACCTTGCAACGAACTCAGACATCCGGGGTCCATGACTTTACATAGTCGCGTAGTCATCGACGAAAGGGATTCGAATGCATCCCTACATTTACTATACCCCTATTATTTGGTGGTCATATGAAGGTTCAGTCTCAACTCGCTATAAAGCATGCATACCTGCGACTACATTAAACAGAACAATACTGCGCACAATGACGGGTAAGAGTAGTTCCAATTGTATATGCTCTGGCATGGAAAATCTGCTTAATTCCACCCATTACCACTTTTAAATTGTGATGGCAGCTCACACTAAGCTTGTTCTCTGATACAGTCATATGTGGACGTGAATTCCAAGTCGTTGAGCTCCATTGAATCCCCCATCATGGTACTGATCACGAGATCATGGTGTCAAGCGAGCCGGGCGCTCAAGGACAAACTAGCCTCTTCCAGCGAAGTTCAGGTAAGAGAAAAAACCTAAAAGGTTCATGTCATTCTCACTTTGCGTAACTGAGCTCAGTTATTCCGCATTCAAATTCTTGTGTAGTATAAACAGTACTGTATAGGACGTGAACTGCATCCTTAGCACACCTCGTTGTATTTCTGTTCATCTCAGGAACTAGCCAAGCAATTTACGCTGCTGAAGTTGGACGAAACCACAGACCCACTGGTGCCCCAATGGACAGGTAAGCATGTTTTATGACATTGCCAAGGCAGGTAGTCTGTGTGCATCGATTTGAGTTGAGATGGCGAAAAAAAAAATCGTATAGGCTACCGTATATATCCGTTGTACTCATACTCCATAGTGTACTTGCTCGCTCGACTGAACAACAGACAAGGCTGAGGGTTGGTAGCCAATACCTCAGAAGGCATAATGCCACTCTGAGATGGTAAACCTCAACATAATATTTTGCTTGGGCACTGATGACCGCCACAAGCGATATATGAGAGTTCGATGTACTACCATGCATATTGACATTCCTGCCAGTTTGAGGTGACGGAAGCGGTCAGTTGTTGGCTGATGTCTTGAATAAGTTCTCTCAAAATCAACATTGGCACAATGGTCATTGATGATTCTTGTGATTAGCTACAATCTCAATCAATTTCGGAAGTTAATGCTCGTTTGTTTCGGTACTGAAGCGCAATAATACAAGTTTATATCACTACCACCACTATACACAGTTCAAAGGGCTTATACACATGCACGAATACCATACAGACATATGTTCTTCCAATATCAATAGATATATGTATACTTTGAGAGAGTTTTGTGTGTTTATTCGTTGTATGGGATATATGTTTTTATCGCTTTACATACACATATATCTATATCTAAATATGAACATAAACATACATTTCATGCCAAGACCCGTTGAATGCTTAAATTTGACATTGTTTCTCCATCTTGTACAGATGGTACCTACACGCCACGCGTTGTCTTTGTGGCGCCACACGGGAAGGGATACCCACAGGCTATGCCTGTTGATAACCTTGAGACTGGTAACAAAGACTACCCACACTACTACTGGGATGCAGAGCAAGTTTATGCTGCTATGGAGAAGGTATGCTTTCGGGTATATGCCATAGGCCATAGAACCATGTGCATTTCAATTACTGCTTTGTGTGTTACGGTCTTACAACGTCTATGCACTGTTCAAGTGATGGTGCAAGCGAATAAATACAAACGCTCAATCGCAGAAACATTTTCCCGCGTGCATCGCCTCATTCTATCTCGTACCTGTGCTTACCTATAGGCGCTAGCAATACACGAAGAAGACTATCCAAATCGCCCCTTAGTGGATGTCCTAGAGCCGGCGAACGTGAGGTTGCCGTATGATGTACCAGATGTGCATCATTTGGTATACACACGCCCGCAGGAAGACGAACATGCGCATGACGATCCTACCAAGCCACACGTGGAAGGTAATGACGGTGCACACAGACGCACCCAGCGAAGTGCGGGCAAGAAGGCACGCAGTGAGTTGTAGTGTACAGTGCAGTGGATTAGAAAGGATTGGGGTGCGTGCGAATCACTCTCGAGATAAGGCTACGAGTAACAACGCTCACCTTCCTTCCACTGGGATGAGCCGAGACTATGCTCATACTCTCTTGTTCTTTGACTTCAACAATGGGTCCAACGAGTGTAGTTGTATCCTTCTTAGCGATAGAGGCAGCCGCATGCCCGTGTCACACTCCTATGTGCCCGAGATACGACCATATTCTGTGCATATACGTAGAGAGATGAGTTTAGCGAACGAGGCAAGTGGCTCCGGAAATGATTTACTCGCTAAACTGTAGAGAGATCCCAAGAGGTAAAGCCATGATCGGTAATATGCAAACTCGCTCTCATGCCAACACCGCATCGCTGCAACGATTATTCCATGTCGAATTTTCATTACAATCTATAACAAAGGCTTGTTTACTGTAATCATTTTCAAAATCATGAATATTCAAGTCCGTGGTACGCTTTATACTCGTTTCCCATTCCAGATATGCATTTACATTTTGTTTTAGTTTTGTATAGGTGCAAATAAGTAGAAGTGGTCTACATATGGAGCTTCTGTAGACATGGAGATAACAACACTTTATATAGCACAAGAGCATGAAAGGCACGGTCGAGAGCAAATCAATATACTTAGTGTAATCGGCGTACACTCGCGGCCGTGTTCTGAATCTTCGAGTAATCAATGGAGTCCAGTTGTTTCAATTTTAGACCTTAGTTTATGAAGTATGTTGGTTTTAGCATCTAAAAAAGTCGCACTGATGTCCTCGGAAGAATCTAGAATTAGCCAATGCATATGATTGCACTTCAGACACCTGGTTGGTAAATACATTTCCCTTCCCTCGATCAGTGTCGCTTATCCGATATTATATCCACCTGAAACGATGGCTTATATTATATTGGTGTAGCTGTGTTCCAAGTGCAGGAAGGAGACGAGATCTAATATAAAACATATGAGGGTCGCCAGTTTGCGAATCTATAAATTAATATTAATATATTCAATACTTTTAAAATAACTAGACTGTGACCGTAGTGCCCCACTGTCAGAGTAAGTATGCTGTATTCTTTTCCCGCGACAGATAATAGGAAAGACCTTGCTATAGTTTTGTGTTTGCGTAGGGCTCGTGTGTAGGCTAGACTCCAGCAATACATTGCCTCCCGATCGAATGGGTAGTTCAACTTCCAGACCTACGAGAGGTGTAGTAGCTGTAATAGTCCGCAGTAGATACAATAGAGTACTGGACATTGTCCGCTCGGATCACTCTCAAAAAACGATATTCGTCCACATAGGTAGCAAAATTATGAAACTATGTTTTCTGGATATTATGTAAATACCATGCAAAAAAAGCTATTCATTTAAAACGAGAATAGACTATCAGTCAGGTATTTCCTTTTCATCCGTCAAATATAATATGTATTTGCTCTTCTCGGCGCCTGGTGAGCTCTGCATTGGTCGAGAAACATAACGCCAACGTTGATTGGATTTATGAGATCGTGTTCCGTTAATAGTCATCATGACCCTCTAGAGAAGAAAGAAAATATAGCTGAACGGACTACTCATATCCGATATTATACCAGCTCAGTGTCAAGGCACCTATCTAAACACTGGTTGCGCTTTCTGATGGTTCATCTTTTAATAACAACCGGGCCCGATACTTTATTGTGGTTCGGGAAAACCACTGGTGATATTTTACAGGGGCGATAATCAATTCACAAATTTGGGGTATTCGAAAGTTCCGTCAAACGGCTGCCAATATATTCTAAGCCTACACATCATAAAGTTGTATTGGGTAGCTGTGAAGCGCTCCACTACCCCACGTATAGTATCTTAAATCAGTTTATTGAGATGGATCATTTCTTGTTGTTGTCGTATCTCCCGAGTTAACATAACATGATAAAGTTACAGCAACATGTATTCAAATTGCATAGCTTATCTTGCAATCCACTGGAGTACGTAGGGAGCGCAAGCAAATTTAAAATCTACAGCCATCAATCGGCTTGTTCTCCTGACATGTTACAATGTCAATGTGTACTGTTCTATTGTATTTATGTATTCAGATTTAAAATAAGTCTATATAAAAAAAGAACAGTACAGACATATATAATTATGTAAAATATGAAGTTTGCTATATTGCATATATTTATGTATGTACATTGTACACAGTATGTAGTATGTACTCTTTACTGTTTGCAGCTACCAGCCAGCGTGAAGGGCTACAGGCCACTCAGAGACTACGAGAGCAGGACAAAAAGTCAAAAATAGATGGAGAGAGAGCGCCACTTCAGTCGGCACGGCAGCCAGCCAATTTAGAGGGGGCTATGGACCTATGGTATGACCTACTCTATGAATTATTTATTTATTTATTTTTAAAAAACCACAAAAAGAATTGTGCACACACAAACACTACAACTTTGCAGTTTGCAACTTTGCATCATGGGCCCTCTCAGAAGAATGCAGATGTCGCTGGATGAAACATGGCCTGATGCGTCATCTGGTATTTATTTATCTCAATTCTCAGATTCCTGAATTCTGAGAAACTTTACGTTGTTGCTGTACCGAATAAACGTTCCACGTTTAAATAACACTATTTAACGCAATCTTCTTGTCTACGCGTTACAGCAAGAGACCTTTTCTAAAAAAGCACTTTTCTTTTTGGTTCTTTCTGATGAGTAATGAGTGACGACTAGACCTATTTTCATTTATCTCTTATCTTTATTTTAACTTTTGATTTAAAAAAAAAAATAGGCCATAGCCTCCTAGGTTTTTTTTAGGAGGCTATTTACATATGATTAGGCTTTCAAAAAAAACCCCCCCCCCGAATTGTAATCCCTAAATAACAGCATGCAGTCACCTTTACCCAGGCCCCAGGACTGAGAAAATTTGTATTGCTTTTTTGATTTATTTTGTAAAAAAAATATTATTACTAAAACATGTACAAAAATTGCCCACTTTTTAAAAAAAGGAGTCCCAGTCCCAAGACTCTGGCCCTGAGGTGAGTCAGGTTGCTGGGTATGTATTTGGGGGGTAGGGCCGGTAGGCTTCTCTGGACAATGGACAATTGGACAAGGATATTGGATACATACATCGAGTTAGAAAAAATATTTTAATAGCATTCACCATCAAGATGATGTAATTCACTATGTATTTATTTACAATCTATTTACATATTTGAGATACAGTATGTCATATTGACTTCACATTCATGTGGAATTCTATTTATGACACGAAAGAAAAATATACGGGTTATCTAATAATATTTCAAATTTTCAATACCGTTATTTTTTTATCTGAGATAGTAGTTTTAAATATTTTACCGTCTCCACATAGAGCCTCTACTTACTGACTATATACGTGAGAGACAGATATAAAGGACGTGAATGAGGATTATATCGTACTAAGAATAGTGTATGTTGAGCTTGGAGTTACACACAGCCACATTCAAGATGAAATCGTTAATATCGCGCGTGTTTGTAGCACTACTGCTATGTGTCGCATTAGCAGCCCGACAAACACACGTTTGTGCACAGGATGCGCCTATAGATGCTGTAAACAATACAACACCAGTTATAGATAATGATATCGGAGTGATTCCAGCTGAGGCTGTACCTGTGAACGAAGACGTTCCGGTTGACGGTGCCGATGAAGACTCAGAGCTTGAGCTCGACCCAATCCCGGAAGACGGAGATGTGCCATCGACAGTGCAAGCGGGTGATGTGACCGATCCTGTCGACACTCAAAACGATATGAATGATGTTGTTGTTGATGTGGTGAATGACGATGCTGATAATTTGGATGATCAAGAAGTTGACGTTGACATACCCGATAACGAAGCGGATATATTCGCAGACCAGGACTTAGACCCAGACTTCGATGCTAACCTCAATGACGAGTTCTTTGATGAGGATGTCGGGGATGTCACTGAGGTGGTCGACGAGATTGAATTAGATACTGTTAATGATAACGGCACTACTATTGTTGACGCCATTACTTTTGCAGATTTGGAAGCGGGTGTGGCGAGGATTGTGTTTGCCTACCACCTACCGCCGGGTGTGACCGAGGAAGCTGCTCTGGCTAACTTGCCTGTGTTGCTGCTGGAAATACTGCCGGTGGATGATGTGGAGATTGTACTGAAGATCGTAGATGAGTACTACTTGGGCGTGTTTGAGGTGCTTGCGGGCGAGGCGGATTTCACTGAAAGCAGTTCGGAGGCTATTATATCAAAGTATGTCAAGTATATACAGGCAATTCATGCCGGCACGGTCTTTCCGTATGACTTATTGTTTGAATGCATCTGGTATTTGCTGTACAGCACGAGATCAATAACAAATAGAATGAGTATTCAACTGCACACATTCGAGTACTACGCACCGGTCTTGATATATTACTAGTATACGCAAACCTCTATATATTTTTGTATGTGAATGTCACCGCATTTGATACTATTGTATCCCGTGTAGATCGTTGCCGTTTCTCAGACCTGCACACCAGTGCAAATCTACTATATTTAGATGGATACGTATTGGTTTATACAATATATATATATGTGTGTGTGTGTGTGTGTGCGTGTGTGTGTGAGTGTATGTATGGTATATATGTATGTATGTATTTATATATACATATATACATCTATTTCTTTTTAGATTGATATTGATAAATATATATATATATATATATATGTGTGTGTGTGTGTGTATGTGTGTAATGTCTACGTTTATATGAATACCAAGTATATATATATATATATGTATGTATTAATATTATGAGAATACAGGTATATATATATATATATATATATATATATATATATTGGGGTGGGGGGGGGTTGGGTATGTGTGTATTGTCTATGTGTATATGAATACCAAGTATATATATATATATATATCTATATATATATCTATTAATATTATGAGAATACAGGTATATATATATATATATATATGTATGTGTGTGTGGGGGGGGATTATATGTGTGTGTGTGTGTATATATATATAGTGTATCTGGTCACGCTTTGATAAGCACGTATATATTCCTATATATATATATATATCGTTATCGATATGTAATCGTCGGATAGGACGTTATCGAGTATTGCGATGCCAATAATGGTATTATTCAATCTATTTATATTTATCACTCGTACGAGAGGTCCACAAATTATTTGTTTGTTCGTGCCTATATGTACATTAGCGTACGTTTACATCTATATAACTATAGAGTAAACAAAGAGTAGACGAACAATCGTCTCATATATATATGTATTTATGTATGTATATATATATATATATATATACGCGGCTACAAATACATGCTTGTATTCAGGTTAAGAATCCTTACCATTTTCTATTTAAATTTACTCACTGTAAAATAAAATCAATCGATCACCACGTACCCTTACATACCTTCTCTTCCAGTCACGATGAATTGGAGACGATTGTTGTAGAGACCTATGCTAACGGCAAGCACTACCATGAGATCCTGGCTCTAACCCACGAAGACAGTAACATACAATCCTTCGGCCAACTAGAGGGTAAGCGCGCATGCTTCAGTAAGTTCGACGACAATGCGGGTATGAAGCTCCCCATTGGCTACTACCTGCGTACCAATCAGATGCCGGCTGGCTCCGATCTCGAAGACACCATCACCAGCTTCTTCAGGTATCGCATATCAATCACAATCGATTGCTATCCATGGCATGCGACTGAGGCTCCAACGTGAGTGCAGGCTGTCGTGTGCCTTGAGGCTAGTGGTGCACACAGCAACGGGCGTGTCTCCTTTGTGTTTGTAGACGCGTGTGTGCATGTCTGGCCGGTCTTCGGTTGTTGTGGCCACATTGTTTACTATGTCCCGCAATGCAACAGTGACGCCCAGCCGTAGCCAGGGCTTGGACTGTCACAAGCACCTTGTCAACGCTATAGACTTTACCATCCTGCATATAATCCTCTGCAAGGCTGTTCTATGCACGCGTATCAGATCTGGGTTGGTGTGTACGATGTCGGGGTAGACAGTAGTCGTGTGTTTGTGAGTCCTAATGCGCCCTGTGATTGTTTGCTAGCGCCAGGCTCCAACTGTGCAATACGTTGACGTGTCTCTAGACCACCCATCGCCTCTGATAGGTTTGCTATAGAGCAAAGTCCTCAAGGTCTGGTGTGCCTTGGCCTTGGGTGCGGAGTTGTACTCGCTCGTATTAGACCTTGGTGTATACAATCACTACCATCAGTGCCTTGACTGAAAGTGCTGAGTTTCTGTTGTGCTTAAACGGTGTAGTATAAGAAGAGTGTCGGTGCTCACCTTCAACGTGTGCCACTGTAGTGTTTGCCAGGTGCGTGTTGAGATACTGCAAGACTCGCGGTCGTTACACACTGAATTGACGACAGTATAGACACGCAGTGGCTTGGGGATGTACCCATCGATTACGTAGTCTATTCTCGAAGCATTCAACACGCGGGTGAGCTGTCTATCTTGTGTAGATGAACGCAATACAACTCTTCTGTGTGGGAATGTACCGACGTCACATACCCATTACTCAGATAGTCGACAAGCCTCCTATCACACAGGCCGTCGTTGTGCACTGTACATTGGGTGACATCTACGTACAGGTCCGATAGGCTTTGCGTTGCAGTCACTCACGTGCACTACTTCCAATATCGTCTGTACAGCAACGGATCGTGTGCCGAGCCCGTCCTGTGCGAAACGTGCAAGGACAACAACGTGAATGGCAATTGCAATGACTTGGACCTGTATGCCGGTTACCAAGGCGCAATGGAGTGCTTGATTGAAAAGGCTGGCGAAGTGGCCTTCATCCGTGACATAGATATTGACGTGCCAGATGATGAGGCGATGGCCGACCACATCAGGCCCTTTGTGGTGAGTTTGCGATGGTAGTATGAGTATGTATACCGGTACAGTTGTGGGAATGATGTGTATATGCTCATTAGAGTTGATTTTTTGCTTCGCTTGTTTTGGCTGTGTACATCCATTGGGGAGTGTTCGTAGCAATGTCGGGGGTAGCGCAAGCTCATATATGTGTGGACGTGCATAGGTATTTAACTATCCCGCACTATGCTATATATATGTGTATAACATTTATATATATATATTTATAAATATATGTATGTATGTGTGTGTTTATATATGTATGTATATATGTATATATATGTATGTATAATATATATATATGTGTGTGTGTGTGTGTGTGTTATTTTATGTTTATATGTATATGTTATTTGTATATATATATACATGTATATTATTTGCATATATATGCTATTTATATATAGTTATTAGTTATGTAGTAGTAGTTTNTATATNTATNTATATNTATNTNTATATCTATATATTGTTTCGTTGTGTCGTGTGTAGTTGTCGTTACGT